CCACAATCACACTACAGACACATAGCCTCTTCACATACAGAGCCACAATCACACTACAGACACATAGCCTCTTCACATACAGACCCACAATCACACTACAGCGCGCAACTGCTAAGCCAAACTGCACAGCCAATATAAATTAGAGGAAAACGCTAGACACAGAGCAGCTGTTGATCCTTCTTAACAGCAACCTACCCAGCACAAAGGAGAGGGAGGTCAGAGGCACGCTTACTTGTACCAATTAGGCTAACAGGCAATTAGAGGGCTAGCAAATTAATTTTCACTTGCATTAAGGGAGGTAATCACACCACTTTCTGGCAAGACCTTTTCAGGGTGATCTTGTTCCAGTCTCCTCACTGCAGTATATTGGTGGTTTAGGGGTACAGTTCACATATCAGAGCAGCTTTAATGAGTCCTGGTTTCAGGGGAGACCTGCCAGGTTAAATTGGTCCTGAGAGTCAGAGATGAGGGTAGGGGGCTGGGGAGAGTAACAGCTTTCAGTGGAAGTGTGTAAAGAAATGAGAACAGGAGGCACATCTTTACACAAAGGGTGGTGGGAGTCTGGAACAAGCTCCTTGTTGAACCCGATACCCAGTCGTTTTACTAACAGAGGTCAGGGTGAGATCTTTAGATTAATTACTAACTGCTAGAGGGGATGGGGAGGCTGCAAGGCCCCCTCTCGTTTTGTGACCCTTGTGAAACTTTTTCTCCAAAAAAAACTATACACAGTCTACCTGAAGTTGTTGTAGTTTTTGTTTTTAAAAAACCAGCACTGCAGATCTGGACACTCTTGAAAAGCCTCACGCATGAGCCAGCAGGGGGCAGGGAGCAGGAGAATGTCAGCGTGTTAGAGACCTGGGGACCGCGCTCCTTTCTGCTCATTAAAGAAACTGCTCAGCTGGTTAATTAAGCCAATGAAAGCTCAGCGGGACCCCTGCGTGCCACTCTCTGGGAAGGGGAACAGTCTGAAGAGTGGGAGAGCGTGACTGAGACAGAGAGGCAGCAGCAGGAACAGAGGGAAAGGAGGTGGCGATCTCTGGGGTGCTCAGTGCGGCTCTGGCTCCAGGTATTCTCCTGCCAGGGCTGGACCCCACAGGTCTGAAGCGTTGGCAGACATGGAGGGAGGGTATACGCACAGAGCTGCTGTCATGGAGGGGGAGACAGCTCCTCTGGTAGTGCTGGGTCTATTCCAGATGAGAGGAGCTGCATTCAGTCCATCAGACGCGTTCGGTAGCTCATTAGGTAGCTGAGTTCAGTAGCTCATTAGTAGCTCACCGGGAACCCATTACCTAACCACTTCTCGAAGGATCCCACAGAGCCGGCTTCAACAGTGCAGCTGGGCCCCTTGCTTCACAGTTCACCCTACGTCTACAGAGCTGAGTTTGTCTTGAACCCTGCGGTATCTTGTCTCATGTCCCCACCTACCGCCCTCTGCGTGGAGCTAAAGAGACTTACTGTATTTCCTTTACCCTGCACACGTAGGACACTTTCTATTTATATTTTTCATCGTGTGCACTTCTGATACACTGTCACTCCCACGTGTGTCTGCTCATCATCAAATGACCAACCGGTAACCATGGCAAGTAGAGGCTGTGTGAAGATCTCAGTGCGGGATGTGCTGGAAACCGGAAGTTGTGTATTTTTCACAATCGGGACTGGCTGAAGAAACCGGTAAAATAAAGTCTAAACTGATCAAGCAGATCAAAGAGCGCAGACAGAGTGAAGACCAGCAGACACAGTGCTCCTGCAGTTGCTGGGGCTGGGAACCAGTGCCCGAGACACTGTGCCAGCTGTGGACATCTCCTGTCCTCTAGTGGAAGAGGTGTGAAACTGCAGGGCAGAAAGGCACTTCAGGATGAAAGAACCATTGGGCAGTCTGGGATAGTGTTTTCCCCAGCGCACACACACACACACACATCCCTGTGGGGCTGTAAAACCCAAGTCCTACCAGCACAGGAGTCCGAGGTCGACCCACCAGCCGACTCTCACACACAGTCACTTCATAGAACTCCTGGATATCTGGGGAGAGAGAACCAGAGAGAGGGGAGTGAGCGAGAGAAGGCAGGGAGATTGGGAGAGTGTGAGGGGCAGGAAGAGAGACAGAGGGAGCCACCGAGGAACAGAGACCCCCGCCGCACTGCTGTCGAATCCACCCCAGGTTTTGCAGAGCGGGCAGTCTGTCAGTCAGGGATCAGCCAGCCTGCCTGACCTGCTGGCTGTCTGAGTACTGTATGTCTGTGATTCATCCCACAGCCCAAGCGCCCCATCCACACAGTGGGTGCAGAGCAGAAAACAGCAGCTCTCAGCCTCATTCCTCCCGTCTCTCTCTCGGCCTGCCTGCCGTGCCTCCGTGACAAGCTTCCTGGATGATCTGCTCTTAATCGGGCAGTGCTGCAAGAGCCTCTCAGCTCTAATCCCTCCGCCTCAGCTAAACCAGCAGATTACATCCCCACTAAATATAGACAGATAGGCAGAGGGAGAGAGAGAGGCTGGGAGAGACGGAGTGTGAGATCTGAAAGAGGGGGGTGGAAAGCGAGAGAGAGGCGACAGGGGAAGACACAGAGGTAGAGGGGACCCCCCTCCTGTACAGTTTTACAGACCCCAGACAGTTAAGGCCCCTGTGTCTCATCCTCGCCCCCTGTGTTCATACTGTTCCTCTGGTCAGGCTGCAGGGGGCAGAGTGGAGTTGCACCTAGGGCTGTACAACGAAGAGGCCCCGTGTCTGTGCTCCCGAGGAGGCCCACGTCCAGAAGGTTTCCAAAATCTCTTAGAAACAGCCCAGCCTGGGGGCTCCTGATGGGGCTCAGCCAGTGAAGGCGCTCGATCAGGGAGCAGGCTGAGCCCCTACAGTCCAGACAGTGCTGGTTCTGCTCTGGGCCCTCATTCGCCCCACTGTGACTGGTGTTCCCCCAAAAGTGGGTACAGTTGGCTTGGGGCCTTCAGGGTTGGGTGGCCTTAAACAGGCCTGGGCGTCCTTTCGGCCGTGCAACAGCGCCAGCCTGCGTCTTTCTGGGCACCTGTCCGCTTGCATCAGCCTGGGCTGTTGATTCGTAGGGCAGGGGGGCCAACTGGACAGTTACCTGGGGCACAACAGGTGCTGGACAGGATATCCACAGCTTGCCCACAGAAGCTCCATCAGGGAGACGGGGGCACAGCTCTGTGGGGGGTGGGAGGAGGAGGAGGTGGGGTTCGAAACGGGAACCTCCCATCGAAACACAGCCTGTAGCCTAACCCAACCTGCAGCCTCACCCAGCAGGGCCTGGAAGAGGTCGCTCTGGAAGATGTTCAGGAGCTTCTCGGCCCGAGCCCGGAACCCCTCGTCGCCGGTCTCCGACTGACACTCCTCCATCAAGCGCAGGGCTTTCTCCGTGTCTGGGCCGGGAGGACAGAGACGGACAGGCAGGCGGTTATAGAAGTGAGAGCTACTGGGAGAGAGGTGGACACCTGGGGAGGACATCGCTGCGTGCTGTAAGAGAGCCGTTCGCCCCTCTCTGGGCAGGCAAGGACTGCCTTCTTACAGTACACATAAATAACAGTGTCTCGGGGTCTTCTTTGTCCACCTGAAACCAGTTATCAATCTACTTTGAAACGGTTAAAAAGATCAGGACTTCCACTCTCTACTCCACTACCGTCTGTTAAAGTGAAACAGTTTAGTTGAACGGGTCATTTCTTCTTTTTTTTGAAATATGGCCCACCCTGCCATGAAAATAATAATTGGGACAGTTTCTGAATTTCTCTTCCTTCTGGTGACTTTTATTCTGTCTGGTAAACCACTGCCTGTTAAGCCTGTTTGGCAGATAGTAGCTAGCTGGTCCCAGGATCGCATCACCCAGCCACTTCTTGAACTAGCTCAACAACACTTGTTCAACACTCCCACCCTCTTGGGTAAAGATGTATCTCCCCCACCAATTCTCAATTTCAAATGCAATTCTTGGAAAGAAGGCGGTGTTATCAGCCTCAGTGTGCTTGGGCAGCTAATCCCACACTCCCACCACTCTTTGTGTAAAGAAGTGCCTCCTGTTTGCAGTTTTAAATGCTGTACTTTGAAAGAAGCCAGGTTATCGGCTTCAACTTGTCTGGACTGCTTGTTCCATGCCCCCACAACCCTTTCTGTAAAGAAGTGCTGCCTGTTCGCGGTTTTAAATGTCATTCCTCGAAAGGCAGTGACGGGTTTTCAGCGGACAGCCGGCGGACAGGTGACTCCGGGCTCCGGCCGCTCTCCTTCACACGACTTCTGTCGGTTAAACACTCAAAAACACACCTCCACACAAAAGTCTCCTGTCTCGTCACGGAAAGTTCTGGGTCTGTGTCCCACGGAGCCGTGGGGCCCTGAAGCGCCGACTCGCAGACGGCGCGCGCTCTAGACACGCACGCAGACCCGGGTTTCTCGCTCGAGAAGGGCGTTTGGGCGGGAACTCTGGGTACCGAACCCCCTACCCGACCTGTAACGGAGACGAACCGGGACTGAGGCCGAGACCGGCTCCGACACTCACCCTGTTTCCTCAGCGGCATTCTCCCTCTCTCTTACTCCCTCCCTCTCGACTTTCTCCTGTCCCTTAATCCCCCCGTCCCTCCGGAGCAACTGCTTCTAACCCTCTTTAGAAATCCCACGGGGGACTTCTGGGAAATGCAGTTCTGGCTCCTGCTCTCGACCACGATATTGTTTTATTAAGACCGTATTTAGTCGAAAGGAATACTTGCGTTAAAGGATACTACTTAAGCTATAAAATAACCTCATGATTAAACTTTTCGCATGCCGTATTACAGAATGAAAGCATGCTATACAAGACCAGATTTACGGTGCCACTTAATACTGACGTGGACGAGAGTGGTGCTGTAGTTCACTTGGGTAATATTCTCCGGACCGTGTGTTTATAAACGACTGCATAAATAAATGTATTTATTGAAAACAGTGTGTCCCAATACAAATAATAATTATAGCTTTCGATTTAACCCTTTAAAACGGCTCTTAAACAAATATTTTAAGTTTCCAAAACATAATGTTGAGTTTAACTGCTTGAAACACCACTTGAAATAAAACTGGTTTTATTTTGTTTTGGTGCTTTCACTGGGCTGGCGCTGAGTGATGAAAGCAGGGGGAAACCGCACTCTTTGCTGGGGCCCGACAGACTGTTTTGTTAAACAGGGATATGATGTCATCCACGCGTCATAACTACAAGCTGTGACGTAGATGACGACTAGGGGGGGTGCCCGCTTTTCCCCGGAGGCTTTAAAAAGGGCACAGTGCCGCCTTCCGGACAGACCGCAGACATGGCCAAGAGGCATAGACGAGCGTCCCGTCCAGTGCGCAGGAGGAGGCGAGTCAGGAGGTCCAGTGTGAAGCGCCAGAGGAGGAGGAGGAGGAGGACCAGGAAGCACCATTGAAACAGCTGGAGCACTTCTGGCAGGAGCTGCCAGCTCAGCTGCACTGCCCCCTGCTGGCCGCTGGACTGGCTGCCCTCAATAAAACTGCGCTATAGAACTGAAACATTGCCTTGACTGAATTATTGACTTGACTATGCTGTAAGATAGCGTCATGTATGTCCATGGCGACTTGCCGTAGTTAGTTTTGAAGCTGAACTGAGATGTGCGTGTCCGTTGTTCGGAAAAATAAAAGAAGCTGTTTACATTTAATCGTTTAAATTACGATTACAGCGCAACATGACAGACAGAATTAAAAACACAGCTGTTGAGGTAAGAAAAAGGTTTATTATTCCTGCTCTTAAAGACTTGTGTCCCGTCCAGGGTATACCCCGCCTTGCGCCCATTGCTTCCCGGGATAGGCTCCGGCTCCCCCACGATCCTGAATTGGAAAACGCATGGATGATCTTAAAGGGACATAGTCCCTTTAGTTGTGAACAGAAAAAAAAATACAAGTGGTCAAAGGCCTTCTAAGTCCTGGATTTGATAGTTGGACCTGAAGTCGTCCGCTGGATCTACCAGTGAACACAAGTGTGAACAGTTCATTCAGGACTGAGGACAGGAGGCAGCGGTTTACACAAAGAGTGGGGGGTGTCTGGATCAAGTTGCCAGGCTGTGTTAAAAACATTCTCTGGGGTGTTTCAGGCTGGGCGATGAGTCCTGGCAGTCTGGCTGGAATGGCTGGGAAGCAGCTCCTCGTGTGTAGCCTGTCTGAGGGCTGTGAGGGAGCCTAGCCCTTCAGCAGCTGGGGCTGGTCAGGAATGCAAGCCGGCGCAGTGGGGCCGAGAGAATGGAAGGGAGGAAAACCTCTCACGACCAGCTGCTTCCAAGACACGGCCAAGTCATCACTGAGCACATGTACAAACATGGCTGACTGAGCCACGTAACGGCTCACTGATACCCACAGCACACAAGTGTACATCTGTTACTGACCCTTCACACTCCACACACACACACACGTGTGCTCCTGTCTGTTACTGAC